GGGGCTGCCTCCTCTGCCTGCCCCCGGCGAGCCCTGCCCGCTGGCTCAGGAGGAAGTGGTTGAAATCAACAGGGCAGGTGAGGCTGGCGCGGGGGTGTGGGGCAGATGGAGACCAGTGGGAGGTTCGGACAGGGTGGCCAGCCACAGCGGGGAGCGGGGAAGATGACGCTTAGGCCAGAGCAGAGCCTCAGGCAGCCATAGAGGCACGGATTTCTCAACCCCTTTAGGGAGATGTGGACTTGGAGCCACGCTGTTCCGAGGGGCCACAGAGGCAGAGCAGTGGGCCCTTCGGTGAGAGGGGCTCAGTCCCACAGGGGGCTGGGGCGGGCCAGAGGTGGAGGCTGGGGGACGGGGACGGTCCTGGGCCCACAGTGTGCCAGAGTGGGTCTGTGGCAGCGAGTTCAGGGACGGGGCACCGAGGGAGGCTGAGGGTAGGTGGAGTCAGTGAGAGCAGCCAGGATGTCCTCACCGTGAGACCAGGGCTAAGAGGGCACTGGGCAAGAAGGGCTGGGGCGCCAGGTGCCGGGCAGGCTCTGGAGAGAGCTCCAGACAGATGGCAGTGAGGGGAAGATGTGAGGGGGCTGGGGGAGGAGGTCGACTGTCCCTGCGTGTGCGTGTGTGTGCGTGCGTGTGTGTGTGTGTGTGTGTGTGTGTCCGTCCCCAGGGAGTCTGTAACTCGGTGCCCAGGAGGAGGGAGAGGTGGGCCCTACCCCCAGGGCCCTAAGTAGGTCAAGAAAGGGAGCTGGGCCACCCGGCCCCCATCTTGTTCCCTCAGCCACTGACCCAGTTTCACACCCATTAAAAATAGCTCAAGTCAGAGCCCAGGGGACCCCCTCCCCCTCCCTCAGTGTCACCTCCCAGCCCACCCCCATGCAGCTCTTTTAGCACCCCACACTCCCGGCTACTGCACAACCTCTTCCTCACCGCCCTGTCCTCCCAGCCCCCGCACCCCACCCTGGCCCGGTCTGCTCGGTTGGCATCCACCAACCCCGCACCCACCACCTGCACCCTTCTGTCCCTTGTGCCCAGCCCAGGTGCCCCATGGACCCTGGCCTGGAACCTCCTCATTGCTGGCCTTCCCTGCCCCTCACTGTCTCCTCTGCCTCTGTCTGACCCCGGATGCAGATCCCCGCCCCAATGGTGATCCTGCTGCAGCTGCGCTGGCCCATGAGGACTGCCCCGCCATCGACCAGCCTGCCGTGTCCCCAGAGGACAAGAGTCCCATCACCCCGGGAAGCCGGGGCCGCTACAGCCGGGACCGTGCCTGCTTCCTCCTCACCGACTACGCCCCTTCCCCCGACGGCTCCATCCGGAAAGGTGAGGCGTGCTCCATGGGCCCCAGCTGGGACCCTCTCTCTCTCCCCTGCCCGGGGGAGGGAGGAGAGGGTGGGGGATGGGGGGGCCCAGCTTCCCTTCCCCCATCCACACCCCAAACGGCCTCCCTCCTGAACCTCCCGCCCCAGGCCCTCTCCACTGACCCTTCACTGTCT